AAATTAATCTAATTATATATTAAAGTTTTGTGTATAGTTAGGCGTAAATTAGGTTAGGTATTTAGGTTTTCGTGGAGATTATTTGCATTTGTAGTGTGTTGATGAAGCATTTACCGAGTTGCGATTGGAACACAGGTCGTAAGCTAGGCACTGTTCGAGAAATGTTCAGACGTCATCAGTTGTGAATCGCGCCTACACTGCTTTCCATTCATGAACCACTTTGGTGTCTGGATTAGTGAGCATTTGTCATTTGTTGATGAGGAAGGGTTGACTCACAGTTGATGACGTTCGAGCATTTATCGAGCAGTGCTTCGCTGATGATATCTGTTCGGAATTTAAACGCTGCAAATGCTTCAGCCTGTCTTTATCAACAAAGTCCAAATGTTCGTTAATCCAGCCGCCAAACCCAATGTATATGAATGAAAAACGGGTTAGACAATATTCATAGCTGATAACGTTCGAACATTTCTCGAACAGTACTTCGCTGACGACCTTTGCTCGAATCGCAGCTCTGTAAATGCTTCATGCACGTACTTCAGATACAAATAATTAACAACATATCCTAAACGTCTAACTTAACCTAACCTATGTCTTAATATGTACAATATACTACTATATATATTAATATTTATCCGTATCTGAACAAAAGCCTATTTGGAATCATTTACATGTTAACAATTCATGAATACATCTTTGGGGTCAGCCGCTGGATGGAATGAACACAGCCTAATAACGGATTGACATTTTAATTGGATAATTAACCCAAAAAGAGTTATAGCAATGCACGACAAGACTTTCCAGAAGGTTTTCTTAAGGCGGAACTGAATATTATACAATGATGACCAAACCACATAACAGAAAGTGAAGAAACGACGACGTTTCGGTCTGTCTTGAACCATTATCAAGTCGTGCAACAGAAGAAGAGGAAGTTACAGGCAAACACAAAAAGTAAACACATAAGTCTCCGTGGAGTAGTGGTAAGACACTCGCCTGGCGTTCCGCGAGCGCTATGTCATGGGTTCGTATCCTGGCCGGGGAGGATTTACTGGGCGCAATTCCTTAACTGTAGCCTCTGTTTAACGCAACAGTAAAATGTGTACTTGGATGAAAAAACGATTCTTCGCGGCAGGGGATCGTATTCCAGGGACCATAGGATTAAGGACTTGCCCGAAACGCTACGCGTACTAGTGGCTGTACAAGAATGTAACAACTCTTGTATATATCTCAAAAAAAAAAAATAAGTAAGAGAGAGATGATCACTCGTCAGAAACCATTTTTTGATGTGTGCTTTGGTGATCATCTCTTCTGTCATGTTATTGTGACTCATCGTCTGCATATTATTCAATACTTATATTGAATTCTGGGGAAGGTTAGTAGTTGGCCTCGAGAGGATTAGGTTTCCTGTCTATGAGAAAGGGATACAGAATGATTAATCGGATAAACAGAAATATGTCATGGCTTGCGCTACAAGACTGTAGGCGTGCCCTTGGACAAGTTTGAGTCCTGGCCAGGGAGGATTGACTAGGCACCAGTCCTTAACTGTTCGCCCCTATGTACCCATCAGTAATTGGATACCTAGTTGCTAACCTATTGACGGGTCGTGTGCCAGGGAATATCAGTAGGGAAAAGCTTACCATGGGCTAACGAAGGGTAAAGCTCTGGTAATAGGAGTCAATAGTCATCCGCTCCTGTAGCCACCTGTGTAAAAAAAAATAAACTGTAAATGATCCTGGATTGAGGTTCCAGAATCAGAGTTTTAAGTCCTTTGAAAGCTCGAGAAACGAGTCCCCCATCATCCAGCAGGGTAGGTGGTGGCGGATGTTGTTGATTTTGATTCAGCTACTCGGAACTAAAAGTTCCAAGTAGCACGGGCTATGGTGAGCCCGTTGTGGACTTACCTGGCACAGGAGCGGGGCTGTAACATGCCTGGTGGCGGATATCCAGTTGATGTTATGAAGGTCAGCGAGGGGACTATAAGCCGTATGTGCCCTGGGCGAATATATATACACCTGACCCCATCAGGGTCACCTGGCGCCACTCCCTGGGCCGTAGAACATAATTGTACAGTACTAAGGTTGCACCACGTCGCTCTCTCAACAATTCATGTCTTTTCTCAACCTTCGCCCATTATTCCTTACTCACAATTTCTCTCTAAGCTATCTTCTCCCCTATCTTGCTGTCTTTCTCTCCCTCGTTCGTCCCCTTCCCTTGCCTCACTTTTCTTCCCCTAAAGCATCTATCTGCGCGCGTCGTGGACATTAGTCACTACGGAGATAGTAAAGGAATTATGTCATTAATGGCACGAAATCAACGATGAATTCCTCCTTATCACGCAATAATTGCCAGAAACGTTGGTGTGTATCCACGATAATACGCTATTACTCCCCACCTCCCTATCCCCTATAACACTGACACCAGGCCTGCCTGCATGCATGCACATACATACATACATACATACATACATACATACATACATACATACATACATACATGACCCGTGAACCTCCCAGCCCTCCCCTGGCCAAAGGTGTATGACTGTATGTATGTACGATCTATAGTGGTTACTTCTAGTCTTACCTTCCTCACCCCACCCTTCACTGCCAAATTTTTTTCCTCTCTGTTCCCCACCTCGCTTCTCCAAGTTTAGATTCGTGCGTTCCTCTGTTTTAAAATGTACTGTGCGCTCCTCTGTCTTATATTATTAATTGATAATATTATTAAATTTTATAATATAATTCATAATATTATAATATTTACTGATTATTATTAATTAATAATAATACTCAGTTATAATCAGTAAAGCAGAGGGTTCTTGAAAATGAGAAAAATGTAAATTTTGTTTAAAGGATTTTAATATTTCAAGGGCATTTGGGTGCCCACCTCATACCTTCAGCTACGGTGCTACAACACAAGACAGACAGACATTGTGTAAGGTATAATTCTGGTCTGAATATGAAGGAGTGCGGAGGGGGGGTTGGGGAATGTGGGATGGGGAGGGAGGGGTGAGGGGTAACCCTGATCGTGGGTCACTTTCCAGCATCATGGCCCGCTACCAACTTTTAGAAAAAGGCTCATTGCAATTAAGTCCGAATAACTACAACTTCAATTTCTTTAAGATTGTCATCTCGAAGAGGCTGTTCAGAGATCTTTGAAGCTTCCGCTTCCTGACGTAACTCGGTGGATATTAAAAAAAACTGACATTGCACGATGACATCACCATATCCTTATATATTCATGAGAAAATGTTTGGATTAGGTCTTGGGTGACGCAAGATGACCGTTCGATCCCATCGTTCTGCTCTTAATTTTTCCCAATACCGTGTACCAAGAGGAAACTTACGGCACTTGTTTCCAAATGCTGAAATTTATGCAGGCTTTTTGGTACATCTTCACATGTACCGACTCGCATCGGTTGATGTGAAGTGCAGTGAAGAAAGTAGATGAAGAAAACAGCACCTCGACCAACACTATTGAATCTATCGAGTATAAAATGGTCGCTAGAGTAAGCGTAAGGCTCAAGACTCGTCCCGAAACTACGTCTACAGCAAGTATGGAGGTCGAATGCTCGTTCCTTCATCCTGATAATCTACGTGTAGAGCAAGTACACGTAGCTACTTGGATTTAAGGGGGAGTGTTTAGATTTAACCAGACCACAGGCAATCCTCGTCCATGCTGCGGCCACGCCCAAAGACCCATCCATAAATTTTAACATGTTGCTCATTCAAAATGGGAATAATATTGATATGTAATTCAATATTATTACATATTTGCATATTGTGTATATTTAGACGTAGGTTACAGTAAATTAGGGGTTTAGATTCTGGTGGCAATTTACGGCTTTGTTTTACGCTGGTGAAGCATTTACAGCAACCCGTCCTCGATTCAAGTCCATTACATCCAGCGGTCGATCCCACAGACGCATTCACAAATTTTTACATGTTGTTCATTCAAAAGGGAAATTTTCTCAAATATACATTAATATTATAATATATTAGCATTTTGTGCATATATAGGCATAGGTTAGGTTAGGTGTTTAGGTTATGTTGGCGATTATTTGTATTTGTAGTACGTAGGTGAAGCATTTATAGCGTTGTGGTTCGAACAAAATTCGTCAGTGAAGCGCTTGTTCCGGAAGTGTTCGAACGAAATCAGTTGTGAGTCGTGTGTAAACTCTTTTTCATTCATAAACAGGGGGTTTGGCGGGTGCATGGAATCACTTTTGGGTCTTTGTTTGGAGGACGGGCTAACCGTTCCTGAGTGAGTGAGTGAGTGAACGAGTAAGTGAGTTGGTGAGAGTAAGTGAGTGAGAGTGAGTAAGTGTGAGAGAGAGAGAGAGAATAATGTTTAAATAACTACCTCGTTTTACACCAGTCATTACTTATCTTGATTACCTGAACCACCCTGTAATTAGCTCGGTATGACAGACTGAGGACTCGCTGCTATTCGCTCCACTCATTGGGAAATAATTCATGCCAATGTATGTAGATGATTTTGTATCATTTGCTAAGCAATTTCTCTTTGCTGAAATCATTTATGTTACCGGACATAGAGATGGGAGGGGGGGGGGGAGTCGAGTAGCTGGGTGTTGGTTCGACGAAAAATTCGACTCTGGATCTGAAGTAGAAGCTGTTAAATGTCATTTGAACCTTAGAATTGTTGAATAAAAACGTGAATTATTTTTAGCGAACTGCGGTGGCAGTAAACATTCACTCTCTTACGTGTTCCGCACCAGAAATGTGTCACGTTTATCACCTCTGAGTTTCTCATAAGTGCTTTCCGGATGGGGGCGACGCGCCCTCCATATGCTCCAGCTCTTCACCTGCGGCTATTTTCACTGCTGGAGTCATATTCAGCTCACGCTCGCCCGATGTTTTTGCCAAAATCCGTCATGGGAAAATATTTTTGGTTGCGTGGGAGGGTGGGTGGGAGGGAGACTTGGCATAGGGGGAAGTGGGAGAAGGGTTCGTGTCACCCCCCTACCCACTCGCCACCACCACCTACCTTAACCATCACTTGACGCTGCAGAGACATCGTGAAGAACTCTCGGGGGTTTATGTGGGCGACGACGCAGTGGTAGTTATGCTTCACCAACCCGGCGGAGCAACTTTAGGAGAACCACTCACACTGGAAGATGGTGTACGTGTGAAGGGAGCAACGAGGTGACCGCCACTTTTATACTCAGCCAGTTTTGCAGTGATGACTATGGAATTGACGGGAGAGGGAGGGTGGTGGGGGGTAGTGGGGGTGGTGGAGGGGCAAAGTTGGAGGGGCTTGTGGTAGGGGGAGGGTAGAGAGGGTGGAAGGTTATGCCAGCGCCCACACCCAAGGCAGGTGAGCTGGCGTGCCAAAAATACCCTCCTTCTTTGCGATTCTCGAAGTACAGTAATGGATCATTCACTCTAAGAATGACGAGTTACGTTCCTGACACCAATGCCCCGGAGAAGGCTTGCAATGGGCATGGAGGACACTAGCTGGGGCAATTCCGCCACATGGCACCGGACATTCTAGAGATTTCGAGTAAGGCAGCGCATGAAGAGGAGGGGTTGGGGGGCGTCTGTTTACACTGGCAGAGTTCCTCTCCTGCGGCCTCACCCACACCAGGAGTAGGGGGGGCGGGGGGATATGTGCAATGAGTATCTTCTGAGTGCCAGGTGGTGTCAGCGACTACCGGACCAGATGCACTTCTTGGCTCCTCTCAGGAATCATTTTTTGATAATCCATCAGAGGAGAGCGGCAGCCTTCGAGCAAAAGGCACGTCGGCGTAGTTCACGTCGCTCGGGATGGGAAGAGGGGGAAGGGAAGAGAGTTATCAGGGGGAAAGTGCCAAGCCATCATGACTGTAGAGGAGGGGTGAGGGAAGGGAATTATCAGGAGGAAAGTGCCAAGCCATTACGACTATAGAGGAGGGGTGAGGGAAGGGAATTATCAGGGGGAAAGTGCCAAGCCATTCCGACTATAGACGGGGGAGGGGAAAGGAACGTAATGTATAATTTGGGGGGAAACCAGAACACAAAATATAACATTATTGTTAGCAGTTTGAAGATAAACAAACATCGCCCCGTGGCAGTCGTGTGTGGTAATAGGGTGGGTGTTTGCGTTGGGTTGAGGGGGTTGGGGAGTTTGAGGGTTGGAGAGGTTATTTGTGGGGTAAGAGGTGTTGACGAGTAGGAGAGTCAGGAGGGAAAGGGGGGCCGAACACTGTACACTCTGTTCACACCACCTAAACGAGCGTCCGGTTAGTACCAGAGTTCGAATATCAAAGTATGAGTATCGACGAGTTTGAGGTTTCACTGTCCACTTTACCTTAGTGAGGTCGACGTACAATATAGTAATAATAATTGTAAATCGTTATATTTCAGAGTTTAGTTTAATTAATTATAAACTCCTACACTTCTTCAACGTAGTAAGCTCATAAAGTAAACACTCCATAAACAGAAGGCAAACTTTATCTGTTTGAATGAGATTTTATAATATATTATATATATATATATATATATATATATATATATATATATATATATATATATATATATATATATATATATATATATATATATATATATATATATATATATATATATATATATAATATAAACTTTGAAAGTTATCTAAGACAAATAAATTTCTATGCTTGTGTCTATAGCTTCTAAGTACAACAATTAGAGGTAGAATCTCCACAGCAAGCACTCACACTCCCACCGAGAGTCTTCAAAGCGATGCTGTGACAGAACAACGTCTTTAGTATAATACTTCACAAAGGGTTTAAACAAAATGTGTTTGAAAGTAAAACAGGTTTAACAGCACGTTAGAAAATGTGATCTGACATTCATCTCTACATCTAGAAAATGAATAAATCTTAAGATGGGTACATCTAAATTGGTACATCTAGGTGAGTACATCTAGATGTGTATAAACAAAGGAGTCAATGAGAACTCGAAGCAGCTTCACGAAATAGAGGAGACAGAAATTCGTGGGGGCCATGAATCAACAAGGATTTACGCAATCAATTGCGAAACCAGTACAATCATTTAACAATCATGGCGGCTGTTTTTACATATATTAAACAGTTAACGAATATCGAAACTTTATAATACAAGGTTATTGTCGCCATGAACAACCTCATTAGTGCCTGACCTCAACTAACTATTCCCACAGATTGTTATAGCCTAGTCTAATCTGTAGCAAAGCCCATACAGTCAACAAATCACACGATAATAATGCTAATCGAGAACTAATAAAGTTGTCCCCTGGGTAAATAACATTACATTGTAGGTAGTACCTCAAGGAAGGCAATAAGGTTAGACCTTGCATGAAAAAACTCGAGTTGATGTCAGAAAAAGACTGTCAGCGGCTAGAATATCTGTGATAGGGTCGACACAACCCCCAACCTAACCTATCTAATCAAGTCTAACATAATCTAACCTACCTTACCTAACATAGAGTTAGATATACGCATTAACAGGTTAGTGTCTGGAGCGTATGCATACTGGGCAGGTGTCTAGGTAGCGCTAAGGAACCTAGGCGAGAGAGCCTTGAAAATGACACAATATATGTTAGACAAACCTTTGAGTATGCAACAACAGCACGGAATCCTCACCTGGGCTGAAATCAGTATAATTTGAGAAAGTACAGAAATATGAAACAATTTCCAAAAATTCAGGAGAAAACCACCATTAAACCAACACAAACCACCACTAACCTAACTCAAACCATCACTAAACCAACACAAACCACCACTAACCTAACTCAAACCATCACTAAACCAACACAAACCCCCACTAATCCAACACAAACCACGACCAAACATAAACACACTGAGAACGGACACAAAAACCATCCCGGCGAACATCAAAATAAGTTGGTCAAGAGGATAACAATCACAATGACAGAAACCATTTTGATCTCGTCGTCGTCGGAGGAGGAGGAGAGCACGGGGAAACACGGTGTGTGAGAGCCAATCCAAACACCCTGGAGGCTGCCTCAACATGTCCTCCTTCCCTCTGCACCTCCTGGTACCTCTAGCTTTTTGCTGGGCTTCGGGACACTCCACTAGTGTGGTAAAGAGAATATTAGAGAGTAGGGCAGTGTCCGGCCAGCAGTGTACGGCTGTGTCCCATCTTTTATGACACAGTCAGAAGCTGTGCCAGTGTCAACACCACCTGGACGTCCTCGGTGGTATAACTGGCAGCTTGTTCCTCTGGTTGGGACTTGCATAGCTGCCTGCTTGTTAATGGGAGAGGAGGGGGGTATAACTGCCTGCTTGTTAATGGGAGAGGAGGGGGGTATAACTGCCTGCTTGTTAATGGGAGAGGAGGGGGGTATAACTGCCTGCTTGTTAATGGGAGAGGAGGGGGGTATAACTGCCTGCTTGTTAATGGGAGAGGAGGGGGGTATAACTGCCTGCTTGTTAATGGGAGAGTAGGGGGGTATAACTGCCTGCTTGTTAATGGGAGAGGAGGGGGGTATAACTGCCTGCTTGTTAATGGGAGAGGAGGGGGGTATGACTGCCTGCTTGTTAATGGGAGAGGAGGGGGGTATAACTGCCTGCTTGTTAATGGGAGAGGAGGGGGGGATATAGCTGCCTCCTTTTTTATAGAAGAGGGTATAGTTGCCTGCTTTTTTATAGAAAAGGGTATAGCTGCCTGCTTTTTTATAGAAGAAGGTATAGCTGCCTGCTTGTTTCAATAGGGGGGTGTAAGGTGTATTACCCCTTACTTCTTCCCATGAACTGAATGCGAGGAAAGATGTCTGCCCAATCTACTAAAAGGGGAATAGGCAGGAGGCCCTAAACTACAGGTCGGTGTCCTCAACTTGTATAACATGCAAGGTGATGGAGAAGATCGTGAGAAAAAAAGCCTGGTAGCACATCTGGAGAGAAGGAACTTTGTATCACGTCACCAGCGTGGGTTCTGGGAAGGCAAGTCGTGTCTCACAGTTTTAATAGAATTATATGACCAAGCAACAAGCATTAAGCAAGAAAGAGAAAGATGGCCCAGACTGCATTTTCTTGAACTGTCAGAAATCTTTTGACACAGTACCCCATATGAGACTTGCATAAGTTAGAGAAATAAGCTGGAGTAAGTGGTAGGGTGCTCAAATGAATAAGGGAGTACCTAAACAACAGGAAGCAGAGAGTTACTGTGAGGGGTGAGACCTCAGACTGGCGTGATGTCACCAGCGAAGTCCCCCAGGGTTCTGTACTCGGACCTATCTTGTTTCTGATATACGTGAATGATCTTCCGGAAGGTATAGACGTCCAGAAGGAAGGTATAGCAGCAGAATTAATCCAAGAAATGGCTTCTGGATTTCAACACCAGTAAGTGTAAGGAGATGGAAATGGGATCATGTGACAGAAGACCAAAAGAACGGTACACAATGAATGGAAACTACCACGAATTACTTTTCTCCAGTGTAACGACTGGATAAAACGACCTATGAGTGGACATATCACTAAACATAACTCAGAGGCTCATATAAATAGTATAACGTCAGCCGCATACTTTACACTAGCAAAAGTTAGAAGATCACCCAGGAACCTAAATATAGAGTCATTTAGATCGTTGTCCAACGCCTACGTGAGACTAGTGTTTAGAGTATATCGCCCCTTCGTGGAACCCCCATCTAAGAAGACACACAAGCAACTCGTAAAGGTTCAGAAATGTTTACCTATTTGTTCCTGTAGGATCGAGCTTTAGCTCCTGGAATCCACCTTCCTAACCACCGGTTGTCTAATGCAACGACGCTTGACCCATTTCCTCATCATATGTATTCTTGTAAGTATGAATGGAGTTTGCTTCTGCAACCTGCTCCTCCTTTAGTTCATTCCATTTTCCCACTACTTTTACGCTATGACAAACATACTAATATAGCAACGTCTCATCTGTTTCCCACGCTCCCACCTACACACGTCATTCGTACATCCAAACAAAGAAAGGCAAGGCCCCACCCACACTTGGATGTTCAAGAAGAACGTATTTTTAGTAGTAGCAAACCCCTCGAACTGCCTACTCCACCCTCCCCCGCCCCCTCACACCTCCCTCACGCCTCTCCTCACCCTCTCTTCCTGCCCAAACCTTCCCCTGGACACACCCGCCTCACCGTTCACCACCACATATGTTATGTATATTAACCGGGTATAAAAACTCGAAGACCAGCCAAACAGA